TCTCTCCCTCTCTCTCTCTCTCTCTCTCTCTCTCTCTCTCTCTCTCTCTCCTCTCTCTCCTCTCTCTCTCTCTCTCTCTCTCTCTCTCTCTCTCCTCTCTCCTCTCTCCTCTCTCTCTCTCTCTCTCTCTCTCTCTCCTCTCTCTCTCTCTCTCTCTCTCTCTCTCTCTCTCTCTCTCTCTCTCTCTCTCTCTCTCTCTCTCTCTCTCTCTCTCTCTCTCTCTCTCTCTCTCTCTCTCTCTCTCTCTCTCTCTCTCTCTCTCCTCTCTCTCTCTCTCTCTCTCTCTCTCTCTCTCTCTCTCTCTCTCCTCTCTCTCTCCTCCTCTCTCTCTCTCTCTCTCTCTCTCTCTCTCTCTCTCTCTCTCTCTCTCTCTCTCCCTCTCTCTCCTCTCCCTCTCTCTCTCTCTCCTCCCTCTCCTCTCCTCCCCCCCTCTCTCCTCTCCCCCCCCCTCTCTCTCTCCCCCCTCTCTCTCTCTCTCTCAGTAATCAACATTTGTCTGCCTAATCTCTGTTTCTGTATACCCACCACTTCCTCTTTCATAGTGTCTTTATCACCAACTTAACATTCTGATGCATCCACCCCTATCACAATCCTTTACTGTCTTCGTATTTACATGACTATATATATACCTTTATGTACAGTATATCTATCTACATATCAATAAGTATGTTTATTTTTCTTTGCTATGTGTATGCCTGCTTTTGTCTTTTCCCATGTGTATGTATTTCCTTAGTTATAATGATGCAACATGTGACAGCAAATCTAATTTTTCTCGTAATGTGCATTTTGTCAAAACATGAAGCACTCTTCAAATCATATGCGTAATGCATACAAGGAGCTCAGCAAGCCGTACTCCTTAGTACTGCACAGGACCCCCCATATGTCAGTACTGCACAGGACCCCATATGTCAGTACTGCACAGGACCCCCATATGTCAGTACTGCACAGGACCCCATATGTTAGTACTGCACAGGACCCCCATATGTCAGTACTGCACAGGACCCCATATGTCACCATCTGCACCATCTAGTGATGTCTGGTGCTTGACATATATAGTGGATATTATATATATAACTATCATGGATCAGTACCAAAAATATCGTCGAAGTCATTGATAAAGACGTTATTGCAGTATCTGTTGTGAACATTCATGGGAAATCTATTTTATGCAATTATTTTGTATTTTTACTGTACATTTACATGTAATAAAACAAACAAAATGGTAAACATTTAAAAATGGACAAGACCGTTGTGTTGCGGAAAAAATAAATAAGACCCTTATTGAAATAAATTGCAGGATAATGAAATACTACTAATACTTCATGATAGAGCAATTATAAATTATACAGTTACTCTACCATTGCATGGAGGAAAAAAAATGACACTAATGAAACGTCCGTTTCTGGTGGGTCCTTGGTAGGTCCCCGGTGCTTGCTACCTGGATAGCTCCATCCAAGTCAGTCCTTTGCAAGTCATTAAGCCTACCTAGGTCCAGAGACCAAAACCTGGCTGCCTCTACAGAGGTGCAAGGTGCTTGAAGAGACTTGGTCCCTCGGACCAAGAAAAAGCCACCAAACAAGGTAACAAATGATAATTAGCTGGGTTATCTTGAGATGATTTCGGGGCTTTAGTGTCCCCGCGGCCCGGTCCTCGACCAGGCCTCCACCCCCAGGAAGCAGCCCGTGACAGCTGACTAACACCCAGGTACCTATTTTACTGCTAGGTAACAGGGGCATAGGGTGAAAGAAACTCTGCCCAATGTTTCTCGCCGGCGCCTGGGATCAAACCCAGGACCACAGGATCACAAGTCCAGCGTGCTGTCCGCTCAGCCGACCGGCTCCCAGGCCAAAAGAAAATAAACCCCCACTTCTGAAGGAGAGTATGAAGTCCCACAACCCCAACTTGAAGCAAGAGAGAACAAAAACAGAGTCTTGGAAAAGCAATACGGGACTGAAGGGACAAAGAAAACCATGGAGGAGAGAGAAAACCTTGTCCAAAGATCAAGAAGGCTCAGGAGCAGCATGAGCAGCCGGAGATGAAAAACTGCCTAGACAACCTGCAAAATGGAGCCAACAATACACACACACCAAATGCTAACAGTGCTTCTGCCAAGGCCAAATGATAAGACGTAACAGTGAAGTATTTGGCATGAGAAGCTTATCTAGAAACAACCAAGACAAAAATGAAATATCCACAGGCACAGAAACAGAGGACAAACAACAAAGAGAAAGAGTCGAAAAGAATGCCATGCAACAGAGAAAGAGACAGAAGGAGGGCCAAGCAAAGAAGAGAAAGAGATGGAAGGAGCACCAAGCAGCGAAAAGAAAAAGACGGAAGGAGCGCTAAGCAACGAAGAGAAAAAGATGGAAGGAACACCAAGCAACGTCGAGAGAAAGAAGGATCACCAAGCAACCTCATTCTGGGGCCGTAATGAAAGCAGCAAGTGAGACTAAGAGATCGACCCCCCCTGCAGACCATACAATGAGTGGTACATGAGTCAACTTCAGGTGTATAAATCGCCAGAGTTCCAAGACATCAAAGAAGAACTTAAGACCGATCCTCAGAGTGAGAGCCACAGAAATCTTGGGGCCAAAGGACTGGAAACAAAGGCTGGGGGTGGCAGAAGAACTCAGCCATCATACATTTTCATTCTAGAAAGAATGAACAGCAATAACCACACCGGAGGGAAAAGACGAAGAAATCCCACTGACCCGAGTCCAACAGAAAGGCATCCTACGCAAGAGACTGGCAATGGGGAACAGGTCCATGTAAACATCGTCATACCAACACGAAGAGGTTCACACTTTGGGACAACCATACATCTTGCCAAACCAAGTGGAAGGAAGGATGCATTATCTATGGTACACTATGACAATGGGACAAAAATGAAACTTATAACATTACACCCAATGATATTTATTAAAAAATAAGTTTAAGACCACATTGGGTACTTTTTTCAGTAACCTATATTTAATTTATATTTTCTCTCTTTCTAATGATTAAGCAAGAAAATTAAGTGGTAACTTTTGATACAAATTTCGAGAATTGATGTTGATTCAAGAATTTAATAAATATGAAATGTTGTATATCCAGGATACTGTGTAAATAATTTTAACAAAACATATCACATTTAAAAAAAATGTATATATCATTATCAAACATTTTAAGATTTTCATACACAGGTGGGTCCAAATGACAGTTACGCCACAGCCTGGGGATTAAAACACTACTAACAAATGCCACATCGGAAACTGGGAAGAGTGGAAACATCTCCATAAGAGTTACAAACTGAGAAAATTGTAAAGAAATGTGTTAAAAGATAATGACCTGGGAATAATCTGGAAGTGATACTCTCCCCCTCAGAACTACATAAGGACTAAACTAAGATTTGCCTTTGTAATTTTTGCAAATTTAAGAGTTGCCTAAAAGTAAATGTAGAGAAATATTGAAGAAATAATTTCCAATGTTAGACCTAAACTGGAGTATGAAGCTGTGGTACAGGTCTTTTAACAAAAATTATGCATTTTAAGAAGTTTGAAAAAAAAAGACACCAAGAAAACAGACAAGAACAATTCCAAAACCAGAATTAACACAACTAGAGCAACAGTATGTTGACCAGACCACACACTAGAAGGTGAAGGGACGACGACGTTTCAACTTGAGAATGGTCCAGGACGGACCGAAACGTCGTCGTCCCTTCACCTTCTAGTGTGTGGTCTGGTCAACATACTTTAACCACGTTATTGTGACTCATCGCCTGCAACTAGACCAACAGTTGCGTACTCCAGACGTAGAATGGATAACATGCTTTTTTATATAAATAAAGATGTGAATGGTTGGATTATACCAGAGGTGGTAATAATATTCTAAAAGACTAAGATATACAATTGTGACAAACATACAATTAAGGAAAGGCAATAACCATATTATTTGTAGCTACAAACACACACACACACACACACACATTTTAAACGTTTCTTCCACTTACTATTTTAGAAACATGAAAGAGTGGGAGGTTTTGAAAGAAAATCTGATCACTCCCACTTTCTTGAAAACAGTCCCAGTTACCTTTTGTACTTTACAGTACTGTACCATTATAATCACTATACTGTATTCACAACATACACAATTATATTTAAAGAAATGAAATACTATGTAGAGATGTTTTATTATCAGACCTCTATTGGACTTCAATACAGTATGGCCAGATACCCATAAAAACCAGATACCTGAATGGACTGCTGTTGAATCTGTGAATTAGTTTTTGTATACAGTATACAATACTGTATAGTGTAACCAAGATGTAACCAACCATTGATCAATCATAACAGGAGAGATCTATCTTGAGGTTATCTTGAGATGATTTCGGGGCTTTTTAGTGTCCCTGCGGCCCGGTCCTCGACCAGGCCTCCACCCCCAGGAAGCAGCCCGTAACAGCTGACTAACACCCAGGTACCTATTTTACTGCTAGGTAACAGGGGCATAAGGTGAAAGAAACTCTGCCCATTGTTTCTCGCCGGCGCCTGGGATCGAATCTGGGACCACAGGATCACAAGTCCAGCGTGCTGTCAGCTCGGCCGACTGGCTCCCCCAGATGACAACTGATCCACAGCAAAACATGCACGTGCAGATAGTACACATAGCACCTTGGTTGACAACCAACGGCAAAGCTCAGAATAACAATATTTAACAAAGTCAATTATCTACAGGTAAGATAACTAGAATTTTACAGTGTATACAAGTGTATCTTAACACTTAACAATCAACTTGATAATGGTCCAGGACGGACCGAAACGTCGTCGTCCCTTCACCTTCTAGTGTGTGGTCTGGTCAACATACTTTAGCCACGTTATTGTGACTCATCGACTGCAAGTGTATCTTATGTCCTGAAGCATTATTTCTAGCAAATCAACACATATAAAAACAACTTATGACCAAGCTTTCTACAGCAGTTTAAACAGTTGCAAGCATTTATAAGCAAAAGTAAAAACAATACTTACACCAGATGTGATGAACATTGTAGAGGCGGCCAACTTGCGAGAAGAACCCTCCAAAGGCCTCATTGTTTGCTTGTCGGAAGTGAATAGCTCTCGACCAGTTATTGCCCCATTCGATCATCGTGCCGGGCTACAAAGTGTGAAATGATAAATTTGCACCGAGCTTAAACCTCAAAATATAAATAAATGGTGTGAATATTTTCAAATTAACAGACACTACAGCACTGTAAATACTGAAACGTGATGAACAGTAGAAGGTCAAAATACTAATGCAGGGTTTCTATACATATATGAATTTAGTTCCCATGACTATGGCCATGAATCAATCTCCATGAATTTAAAATGGCTGCCTGGAGAAAATGTGTTTAATATAGTATCATTTTTTGGCTATATTCCATGACACTTTTTTCATTACATTTCTGAGATTTTCCCTGTTTAAAACCAGGCAAGGGAAGAGAATGAGTAAGTTTGAGGCATTAGTCATTGTGAAAATGTATCCAAGTTGCAGCATGATGCAATGAGTACGAGAGCTCTGCGGCCAGATTCACGAAGCAGTTACGCAAGCACTTACAAACCTGTCCATCTTTTCTCAATCTTTGGCGGCTTTGTTTACAATTATTAAACAGTTAATGAGCTCCGAAGCACCAGGAGGTTGTCTATGACAACAACAACAGTTGATTGGGATTGATTATCTCTCTCAACATTAACATTTTCATCGTATGTTTTTCTCAGTTATGAATGGAATTAGCATCATTAATCTCCTCCCATGCATTCCACTTGCCGACCATCCACACAGGGAACAAAAACTTCCTTACATCTGCACAACTCAATAGCATATCTAACTTCCACCAATGTCCCCCTGTTCAACCCAACCCGTTCTCGCAAATTTAATAAGTCAATATTGACTTATTAAATATGTGCATAGGTGACATAACATAATAGTTTCCCTTGAAAAGCTTCATAGAAAACACCGACCTTACCTAACCTACTTAGTATGTTAAGATAAGCATCTTATTGCTTCGTAATTACAATTATTACCTAACCTATACCTATAATAGGTTAAGTAACAATTGTAATTACGAAGCTATAAGATGCTTATTTTAACATACTAAGTAGGTTAGGTAAGGTCGGTGTTTTCTATGAAGCTTTTAAAGGGAAACTATTATGTTTAGTATGTCACCTATGCACGCAACTAATAAGTCAATATTGACTTATTAAATTTGCGAGAACGGGTTGGTTCAACCACAATTTTAATTTAAATACATATATTTTGTCCACTTTGTCTATTTCCCTCAGGATCTTGTATGCAGTGATTATATTCCATCTGCTTCTTCTCTCCTCTTAGGTTGTGAGGGCGAGTTTCCTCAACCCGTCATCAGCCAAGACCTTTCAATTTTGGTCTTAACTTACTATGACACTGACCTCCGCCTCCCGCCGCTGACTCAGCCGAAGCTTCCTGGTCATGGTAGCGGCCGCGGGCGTGGTCGAGGCATCAGCGCCCGGCACACATTGCCTGAGGTCTGAGGAGCTTCCCCGGGGCAGTGTCAAGCCCCGCCAGCGGATCAACAACAAGGAGTCTCCAAAGGAGTCCTCCCAGAAAATGAGTGGACCTATTGCAAAACTTTCAATGCTATCTTTTAAGTGATTGTAACTTCCCCACCACTGCCCACTGGATGGAGGGGGAGGGGGCAGTGAGCAGGATAATCAATTGTGGCACTAGTTCTCCACACGTTAGTTGCTTAATTTAGAACCAGTGCTCGTGATCAGTCTCGAGCCCTAGTTACATTGACTTTTGTAACTAGCGCATTAAGACTAACTTGCTTACCTAAATGAATTGTGGGGTTCAGTCCCTGAGCCCATTATGTGCCTCTGTAACCCCTTTCCACTATCCCCCACAGGATGGGTATGGGGTGCATACGAAATGAACTAAACTATCTTTTGCAACTGAAGACTAATGGGATATCTTCTTTAATGTCAACATTCTGAAGCAACTAGGCATATCTCAACTTCTCCCATCCCCTCAATGCTTTCATTGGATTTTTAAAATAGTTCTAAAATCTACCAAAAGGGGGGGGGGGTTAAATACCTCAATAACAATAAGATACAGCACTTCTTTACACCACAAAACATAACTTGTAAGGTTCAAGCTAATACACAAATTCGTCTCTAGACATTGCATCTGTGCTGTAAATTTTGAAGAACACTTATTTAATTCAAATTTAAACTATTCCTACAGAAGATACCTTATTAGACTAAGTTGAGGAACTATAAAAATACAAAAGGCTTATTTATGATAAATCATACTATCACAAAATAAACCAGTCCCAGAAAGTTTATTCGGCCGACTCTACTACCTTACTAAACCAGTCCCAGAAAGTTTACTTGGCCGACTCTACTACCTTGAGAAAATACGAGCGAATCTCGTATATATTTCCACCCTCACGTGGTGATACTGGGGGCCAAAAACTGAAGGGTAGCAGGTACTGATTTGAGCGTTGTCGTAAATACTGATTTCTATCCTGAATCAGTCTGGACAAATCCTGAGGGGGAAAAAATAAGAGTACTCAATGTAATGAAACACTACTTGACGAGCAGAGCCCTCGGTAGCCTCACATAGGAATTGCATTATCAAAAAGGTGAAGAATTAATAATAAAACACTTATCTGAACTGATCAAATATATATGAAACTTGATATTAAAATAAATCAAAAGTGTTTCTATATTCATTAGAAATTTATTTAATCCTTGTAAGTCATGAAATATCATAAACAAAAAATATGTAAGTACATATCAATATTAGAAATGTCATACAAGTATCTTTATTTTTACCTAGAAAATCTACTGGAGGTAATGTACAGAGGGAATACCTTTCCTATGTGACAAAGGTAACATTGCTCAGCCTTAATTCTGACCCCCAATGTAAACAAAATGTACACTACTTATTGATATGCAGTTTAATGAGCATGATACCTACAATGCTCCAACCAGTTCTCGCACTTGCTTATAGTCAATATTGGCTTATTTAATAAGTGCATATGTGACATACTAATTGTGAATATTTTAGTTTACCTTGAAAAGCTTCATAGAAAACACCGACCTCACCTAACCTTCTTAGTATGTTAAGATAAGCGTCTTATTAATTCTTATTTACAATTATTACTTAACCTATCAATGGTATAGGTTAAGTAATAATTGTAATTAAGAAGCAATAAGATGCTTATCTTAAACTAAGAAGGTTAGGTGAGGTCGGTGTTTTCTATGAAGCTTTTCAAAGTAAACGAAAATATTCACAATCAATTAGTATGTCACATATGCACTTATTAAATAAGCCAATATTGGCTATAAGCAAGTGTGAGAATGGGTTGAATGCTCTGGGGAACATTTAATGGACAAGTAGTCAACCAGCTTAAAGTTGCAGAGCACTATAGGACACTACCATAATTCTTGCTGGAATTTCCCAAAAAACTATAAACATCTAGTTATCAATACATATAGCTTACTGGATCCGACGCAAATAATTTGTTAGCTGCGTCTATAGAACTATATCCTCCAGCATACTTCCATAAGTGAAGGCACTGGTCTTGATCTCCAACAGTAACAGTCCACGATCCTTGCAGTTCTGGGTGAACGGGCTTATCTGCAAACTTGTCTACAACAGCTTTCACATACTCTTCACTGTAATAGATAGTGATTAAAAGAATTAAGATTGCTCAAGTTGCATACAGTATTCACACATTCACAATAAGTGATGTGAACTGTATATTCCAAATCATACACAAGAAAGAGTGCTGCTATTCTAAACATTCATAATACTGTATTGTTCACTGAAGTATTCAGCAAGCAGTCTTCCCAAACATTCATAATACTGTATTGTTCACTGAAGTATTCAGCAAGCAGTCTTCCCAAACATCCTGGGTCTTTTTAGTACTGTACAGTGGATTATGTTAATGACTTACTGACCGACGACCTGATCCGGGTACAATCCCCAGGCATAACTAAAATGGTTGGGAACATTATTTACTTTCACCTGAAGCCTCTCTTCACCTAGCAGTAAATAGGTACCCCAGGAGTTAGGCAACTGCTTTAGAGTTGAACCCACAGAAGATCAGCAGTTCAATCTGGTGGAGAGGGTGGGGGAAGGGGGAAGGCACCCGCATCTTTCCAGAGGTTATGCCAAAAGGAAGATTTATTTTAGGATACCCTAATGTCATCGTTCCATCAAGGTCAAGCTCTTCTCTATATGTTTTAAAAGGGACACACACTGCCCTCCCCCCACCCTAAATAGCACTAACAAGACAGACATAAAAATGTCAGACTGTTCTGATGCAGATTACAAGGAAGATTAGAGCAATTACATCAGTTGAAATTTGAATAATATAAAGTTTTTCTATTAAGTAGGTGTCTAAACTTATCCTAATTAGCAACAGTGGCCTTCTCCCAGTTTAGATAATTTCTAGGGAGGTTTGTGTTCTCATTGGCTGCAGCAACTTGTAAATAAGGTATACTTCTTGAGGAAATCATCTCAAGATAACCTCAAGAAGATGGCCCTGACAGGAAAATATCTGGACAAGTTGTCACCATCACTGATAGTCTTGCACCAAGTTAGATCATCAATGAGAAAATTATCAACATCACATATTTCTCTCTCCTTCCAAGAAAGAAAATTAATGCCGATATTAAATTCATCATTGAAAGCAAGATTATGCGCACTTTCTATATCCACGAAGGCATTAAGCAAATATAAAAATGTATATTGTCAAGAAAATTTGGTGTTTATGTCATCTACCACTACAATGTTCACATCTTGAACCTGACAATGGGAATTATGTACCAGGTGTACACTGAAGCAATTATTGTCAGAAACAAATTCATCCGCACAAAAAGCCTCTTGAATACACTCATCCATCTTTAAGAATACAAGCGGAAAAGATACAAAGCAAACTGTGATCTTTATACTCATTACTGCGCTTTTTAAACAAAAACACAGTAGCAAAAATTAAAGAATTATTATACTCACTAATTCTCAAGATAAGGTTTCCCTGTACCAGGTTTGAGGTTATGGGCTTGCAGTTCAAATATAACCTCTTTGTCGGACAACATGCGAGAGTGAGATTCTTTGGTGGGCTCGATTTTCCGCACCAGCAGCTTGTTCAGCCAGTTGTCTTTCTGAGCAATGCATCCCGTTGACAAATATCTGCAAAAGAAAATTATGTTTTAAGTTTGAGTTATACACAGGAGGTCGCCCCTGCCATAGACCCAGGTTGCCCTAGGCCTAGGAAGCCACCCCCTGCCCTGGACCAGGGTCGTCCTAGGAGGCCGCCCCTGCCATAGACCCGGGTTGCCCTAGGTCTAGGAGGCCACCCTAGCCCTGGACCAGGGTCGTCCTAGGAGAGCCACCCCCAGCCCTAGACCAGGGTCGTCCTAGGAGGGCCACCCCCAACCCTAGACCAGGGTCGTCCTAGGGCCCCCCCCCCACCCACCCTACACCAGGGGTCGTCCTAGGTGACCTATTAACCCCCCCGTCAACTATCCCCTGGCGATACTGTCCACCCCAGCCACCAGCACAGCACGTGGCCCTGACCCCTGAGCCAGGTCAAAGCCCTGACCTTCACCCTGACCTTCCCGGCCACAATGTTTACATGGACGGCGGCAGACGACACCAAAAACAGCTGATCGCTCCCCCCAAGACTTCACAAACATCACTAAAAAAAAGCATTAACCGCGGGCAAATAACAAGCCAAGATACTTCAACAGCTTCTACAGTACCGTATTGGTCTTCAGAGTGTCTTATAACCGTCACCTGACATTGAGAAAGTGTTGAACAGGCGGGGAGAAGACGGCGGCCCTCCGTAACAACATCGCCCTGGCAGCCATGATGGACTTGGTGTGACGTCAGACCCATAATGCACTGCCGCCGTTACCATGGTAACCAGAGCCGCCGTTACCATGGTAACTAAAGCCGCTGTTACCATGGTAACCAAAGCCACCGCTCCCCTTATCTTAACACTCGCCACATCCCCCTCTCTAAACACCTAATTCCGGGTATTGAATGGCTCCAACAAACTGTATATGGAAAAAACAGATCATGGACAGCAAGAGAAATGAAGGGAAAATGAATGCCAAAGAGAAACACGACGATAATGAGCGACAAAAGACTGAGAATTTTTACACACGTGTGTACGATGATGCTGTTGCCAAGAAGACTCCAATTGACAACACAATCATTGAGTAAGGAAATGTATATGTTTATCTCTCAGAATGTTCGGTGATACGTGTATTGCTTGTGGTGTGTATCTATGTGGTGTAGTGGTAAGACACTCGCCTGGCGTTCCGCGAGCGCTTTGTCATGGGTTCGTATCCTGGCCGGGGAGGATTTACTGGGCACAAATCCTTAACTGTAGCCTCTGTTTAACTCAACAGTAAAATGTGTACTAAGTTGTAACAGCGATTCTTCACGGCGGGGATCGTATTCCAGGGACCTGCCCGAAACGCTACGCGTACTAGTGGCTGTACAAGAATGTAACAACTCTTGTATATATCTCAAAATGTATGTATTAACACGATGTACTGAACGGGGTGAGAATAGCTTGAGCTACCTCATCCCTTTGTGTGTATTTTACCTCAATAAACTTATTTCAATTTCAATTTCAATCATTGAGTAAGTTGCTTATTAACTGTGATTCAGTCTATCCTGCATATATGTCTTGTTTATGGTAGTCTACAACTCTAAGATACAATATCAAACTATTTACTTGCAAATATACTGTGTTATAGAAACTATGATTTATTTGTTTATTGATATAAACTCTGAATTATGTTTATTTATATCAACTAAATTATGAATTATTTACATAACTGCAGCTAAGGTGGTTTAATACGTCGAGGCATAACTGAGGCACTTTGGGTTCAATCCCCATAGCAGGATAGAAACGTTTGGGCAGCGTTTCCTTTCACCTTATGCTTCTCTTCACTTAACAGTAAAATAGGTACCAGAAAGTTATTTACGTTACTTCAAACAGTAATGAATTGAGGTAAAGAACTATAAATAAAATACAAGTTCAGGTTCAGTACAGGTTCAGTACAGGTTCTTAGTACAGGTTCAGGTTCAGTACAGGTTCAGTAGTTTAATGTTCAATAACAGCAAAACATAGGTTGACATTTAGGAAGGCTACATTCAAATTCAAAAATTCAAAATTCAAATGTTTATTCAGGTAAAGTACATACATACAAGAGGTTATACAAAAATTTATAGATTTATAGATAGAGCTAGTACATACAATGCCTCAAGCCACTATTACGCAAAGCGTTTCGGGCAGGAAAAACATTAAAGACTAAAACTTAATACTAATAATATTAATACATTGAGTTTATCAGGTAGTTCTTAGCTTCTTTCTTAAACTGGATGAGGGAAGGACAGTCTTTGACATGATTAGGGCGGTCATGTCACATTTTGGGACCCTTGACTTGTAGAACATTTCTGCTTTGGTTAGGTCGCACTCTTGGAATATCAAATAAATATTCAAGTACTCTTGTATAATTAGGTGCCGGTCGGCCAAGCGGACAGCACACTGGACTTGTGATCCTGTGGTCCTGGGTTCGATCCCAGGCGCCGGCAAGAAACGTTGGGCAGAGTTTCTTTCACCCTATGCCACTGTTACCTAGCAGTAAAATAGGTACCTGGGTGTTAGTCAGCTGTCACGGGCTGCTTCCTGGGGGTGAAGGCCTGGTCGAGGACCGGGCCGCGGGGACACTAAAGCCCCGAAATCATCTCAAGATAACCTCAAGATAGATCTCTCCTGTTATAATTGATCAATGGTTGGTTACATCTTGGTTTCACTATACAGTATTGTATACTGTATTGTATTCAAAAACTAATTCATAGATTCAGCAGCAGTCCATCCAGGTATCTGGTTTTTATGGGTATCTGGCCATACTGTATTGAAATCCAATAGAGGTATGATAATAAAATATACTCTTCATAGTATTTCATTTCTTTAAATATAATTGTGTATGTTGTGAATACAGTATAGTGAGTATAACAGTACAGTACTGTAAAGTACAAAAGGTAACTGGGACTATTTTCAAGAAAGTGGGAGTGATCAGATTCTCTTTCAAAATCTCCCACTCATTCATGTTTCTTAAATAGTAAATGGAAGAAACGTTTAAAATGTGTGTGTGTGTGTGTGTGTAGCTACAAATATGATTTCCTTAACTGTCTTTCCTTAATTGTATGTTTGTCACAATTGTATATCTTAGTCTTTTAGAATACTATTACCACCTCTGGTATAATCCAACCATTCACACCTTTATTTATATAAAAAAAACATGTTATCCATTCTACATCTGGAGTACGCAACTGTTGCTCTAGTTGTGTTAATTCTGGTTTTGGAATTGTTCTTGTCTGTTTTCTTGGTGTCTTTTTTTTCAAACTTCTTAAAATGCATAATTTTTGTTAAAGACCTGTACCTCAGCTGCATACTCCAGTTTAGGTCTAACATTGAAAATAATTTCTTCAATATTTCTCTACATTTACTTTTAGGCAACTCTTAAGTTTGCAAAAATTACAAAGGCAAATCTTATTTTAGTCCTTATGTAGTTTTGAGGGGAGAGTATCACTTCCAGATTATTCCCAGGTCATTATCTTTTAACACTAAAGCCCCGGAATCATCTCATGATAAGCATATATTCTTCTTGCCTGTATCTTTGCTCATATATGGTTGTTACCGAATGTTGACTTCAGTCTTTAGTCTACCATGTAGGTGCAATCCATTTCAAGAAACTACAAGAAATGAACCTGGATCTATTTCAAGAAACTAGGACTGACAGAAGAGCAATCAAAGGGCAGAAAGTAATAGTATAAAGAGTTATGATATGTTTAGAACCAAGTGTACAAACAGGACAAAACATTCACTAGACAGTATGACATTGTAACTGCCAGAATTAGGCTGGGATATCTATGGCAGGTGGCTGTAGGTAATGAATACCCCAACAGTGAACATTCCAACTGTAAACTATGTGAACAAGAGCTAGAACATTCTCTAACATTATATTTGTGAGTGTTAATGACTCTGAGCTCTGTAACTACTTCGTAAACTCATAAATATTGGAAGATATTATTGTGCTTTACCAAGAACTTGCTAGTGCAGTCTTGTAGACTAGACTTGCTTCTCATGTCCTCTCCTGATTCCATGAATGACTAACCAACCAGAGAAGGGGATATAAGATGAATTCATAGGTTTTATCTATACAGGTACTCTGGAATCCTTCATACAGAATAGGATAGCAGCACATTGCTGTGAGCACCTAAGTTTGTTATAAGAACAAGTTCCTGAGCCTCTGTAACTTTTTTCCACTGTTACTTACAGGATGAGTATAGGGTGCATAATTAACTAAACAAAACTTCTCCGCCCCTCACCAGACAGACGTGTGAGGTGGGTGGGGGTCGCGTTGAGAGTTTAGCCCGAGTGTACAGCACTGGTGGAGAAGGCACTGCTTCTCACCATGCTGCCTTCAATGCCTCCCTTGCAGCTATACACCAGCAGAGGCAGCGGGCTCACTCTCGCTACACTGCACTTGTGCACGACATCCTTACTCACGAACCAGACCTCCAGGTAAGCTACTGTGGTATGAAATGTAATTAACCAACTTTACTTATATTTTCTTAGCCAACACATCAGCCTGTGTTTTGCTGTTATTGTGGACATTAATTACTATATTTGTTCTGTTACTAAAAAGTGCTATTTCTAAATATCATAACAAATTGTAAATCATTTGATTTGTTAAATCATATCTACAATTATAAAATTACATATTTTGTTTCTAGTTACAAAAAACTGCAGTTTCTAAATATCACTTAAAAATTATCACTCATTTGCAAAATCTCTTCGACAATTCAAACTGTTAACTACTTACTTGTATTTAGTTTAAAATATTACCCTATTAAACTTGTAAATAAATCTCCTAATTATTTTCATGTTATGCCCGAAACATACTGCATATCAGCGGCTTTGTATAAATGTACAGTACATTTCTTACCTACAAATTCTCCACTATTTCATGGATCAAATTTATTTCCTTTTTTATGAATGAAATACAGTATTATTATTATTATTATTATTATTATTAATATTATACAGAAAAGTGTCATCCTAAATGGAAATCAATCTGACTGAAAAAATGTGGTGAGTAGAGTAAGGCAAGGTTCCATTTTGGGGCCAACTCTTTTTGACATACACATACAACTGTGACATAGATGAGAATATTACAAACCACATCATAAAATTTGCAGACTATGATCTATGATAAAGTAGGAAGAGATAACAATACCAAGACCTAATAAAGAGATCTACATGAACTCCACAAATGATAAGAAGACTGGCAAATGCTGTTAATATTGAAAATTGTAAGACCTGGCATTTGGGGCATAACAGTGCACATCACAACTATCATAACAGCATTTATTTATTTATTTATTTATTTATTTATTTATATACAAGAAGGTACATTGGGATTGTAAGGATACATAGCATAGTAATTACATTCTTGTAAAGCCACTAGTACGCGCAGCATTTTGGGCAGGTCCTTAATCTAGTCCTCAATCTGCAGCATTACCATGCAGCAGATTGATGAGGAAAAGGACCTAAAAGTTAGAGTCCACCAATCATTGAAAGTTGCATAACAAGTGGGAGCTGAAGTAATAAAGCTAACCAAACCTTAGGAATAGTCAAACAACCTTTTGACTTCAAGGAGAAGAAAGTGGTTATTTAATTGTACAAGTCTCTTGTGTGCTTCTATTTGGACCACTGTATCAAAGCATGGAGACCTCATCTTCAGAAGGACATACAGTATCTACTTTGGAGAAGGTTCAACACCAGTTGAACTCTCAACCGATATTGAGAGACAAAAATAATCCCAGAGCTAAGTTGACTCTCATACCAAGAATGGTTGAAGGCCACAGGGCTAACAACACTGAAATTAAACATGAGAGAGCTGATCTCATTGAAACTTTTAAAATACTGAACAATTTGGAGGATATTGACCCAGACAACTTCATTAAAAGATCAGATATAACTCATAGAAGAAGCAGCAGCTTCAAGCTTAACAAGCCACAATGAAGGACAAGAAACAGGAGATGCTTTTTCACCCATAGGGTTATAAATTTACAGTACCTGTGGCACAGTGGTAACACACTCGCCCCATGCTTCGCGAGCGATTTGGCCCAGGCTCGATCTTGGCTGGGGAGGATTGACTAGGTGCCAATCCTTAACTGTATGCCTCTGTTCACCCAGCAGTGATTGGGTACCTGGTTGCTAAACAATTGGTGGGTAGTATTAGAGGGAAACAGTGGGTAAGGCTTACCATGAGATAAAGGAAGGGAAAGCTCTCAGCCTGCTAACAAGAGAACAGGAGTCAGAAGTCATCAGTTCCTGTACCCACCTGTGTTAAAAAAAAAAAAAGGAACTGCTTACCGGCTGAAACTGTAAATGCCACAACCTTACTTCAGTTCAATATCCAGCTGGATAAAATCATCAGGACAAAAGGGAAGTACCATTAACTCCTCATTGAGGCCACTAGTGAGATGGTGGCCATCAGGTAAATTTCAGTTGTATAGCAATGCTATGGCAGGACCTAAAATCTTTAAGTTTTTTTTATAAATTAGGGTTGGTATCTCAGAAGGTGTACCATGATTTAGTTTTAAGAGAATTATATCATTAATGTCTAATGAGTTTGTTGGAAATAGATACAGAGACTCAGGATAGCTACAAGAGAGAGGTATTCGACTACATTTGTTTGAGAAGCCAGAATGTCATTTGCATGGGGTGTGCCAATGGATGAAAAGAAATTATTGAATTTAGTAGCGGTGTCAGTGGCTGATAGCATTTCCACCATTTCCAGCTAAGAATATTTTTTTATTCATAATCATCTTTGACCTGACCTGACAGCTGAGTGGACAGCGCTGGGGATTCATAGTCCTAAGGTTCCGGATTCGATCACTGGGAGAGGCAGAAACAAATGGCCAGAGTTTCACCCAGCTTTTCAGGGGCATGTCACCCAAATGCCCCTGTTCACTCAGCAGTAAATAGGTACCTGGGAGTTAGAGAGCTGCTATGGGTTGCTTCCTGGGAATGTGTAACAAAATGGAGGCCTGGTCGAGGATCAGGCCGCGGGGATGCTAAGCCCCAAAATCATCTCAAGATAACCCTAATATCAGGGAAATAGTGTTCCATATACAGTATTTTCATGTTACCCTTTATTTTAATAAATTTATTTTCATAGTAGGTTGTCTTGGCTTTTTTATTATCTTAGAGATTAGTGAGGAGTACCTCTTAGAAAATTTTCTAGAAATGACCCCTATCCTGTATTTCTTCTCATATTCATGTTTTTTATTTATTAATTTAAGTATCCCTTTAATGAGTCAAGAGTTGTTAATCCTTTTGGTTATGACTTGTTTAGTTAACATGAGACTGTGAGTATTATTGAGGCTTAGTTTTGTGAAGAAATGTTTGTACACCTGGATTGATTTCAACCATATTACTGAGGTCAGTATCCCAGTTTATTTACCAACAGCAACAACAAAGTTGCTTATGGGAGCAGTCTAAAGTTAATTTTTATTGTTTCTATATCCCTCCATGACACTGTTACCTTTCCCTGTTCCTCCTCAATTACATTTACCATTAATTCTTTCCAAATTATCTTTGCCCTCTTACTCCACATTTACCTTTGTCCCTTTTCTCATCCTATTGTCCTTTCAGTCCAGCTACGTAATCTCTTTCCTTCTCTTTACCTTTCTGCCTTTATTCTTTTTCTTGGTCGTTTCCCTAGGCTCAGGAGGAACGTCGCGAGGAGGGGGTGAGACTGCTGCGGCGCCAACAGGAAGAGGAAAGCAGCCAGGAAGATGAAGTGCAGCGCCTTCAGAAGCTGATTCAGACTGCACACAAGACCACAGCAGCCACCACAGCCAAAGTCACCACCTATTCCACCTACAAGGTCAGTTTTGTAGACTTTACTCAAATTTGGGGAAAATTAGTTTCAGTTCTAGTGGGTCCACCTCTTAATCACACGATGCATTAGTAACTCTATGCATTTGGTCATGTTTGCATATGAACCTGTGCATGGAGTTAGCAACTCCTTCAATTTTCATTTTCCATGCATAATTATCATTCTTGGTTCCACCTGTTACAAGCAAGACATAAGAGTTTAATACGAAAATAAACTCAAATATTCACAATATATTTGACAGTACGATTTAATACTAAGTGAAAATAAGTACAATTCCTAACTGCTATGAATAGTACATAATTGCACTTATTTGTCTCCTTACATTTACCACCCCATTTTTGGAGGACGGGCTGAAAATATGCAAGCCTAATGTACAATGAGAAATGGCTCCTATTTATATACAGTACAATCACTTCCAGTACTTATCCCTTCTATGATTAATAGTTTCCATTGAGATTGCTTCTAGAATGCTTTGTTTAACAGGTCTGCAAAACTCTTTCGAAACAAGTACTTGCCAATTTCTATTAAAATAAAAATTAAATTAAAAGTTCAATCTATTATTTTAGGTTCTATGTTAGGATGATACAGTAATTTTAGCACCTTAACTGTTCATATCCCATTTCTTGTTCTACCCTTTCATCTACAGTATTTTTACTCTTCAGTCATGTTCCCTCTTACTCTACACCTGTTTAAAGAATGTAAAAACAATTTTATTAGTCTCCTCATAATACGGAGTTATTTAATGCATAAAAGTACCACATAATTCCAGATGGATCCCACATGTAAACTACTAGATCAAGTTGAAGGATAACATTGACCTTGGCAATGTCATTGATTACAGTATATTGTATTGTATTTCATAATTAAATTCAATCTTTGTGGAAGAAAATGGTAGAGAGAGAGGAAAGAAAGAACATCAAGTCTGAGTGTTTATATATTCCGAACCCCCATTATACATTTAAGATACTGTACAGTTAATTAATATGATACAGTATCTCATATTATATAATAAAGATACATTTATGATATCTCTGCATTGAATTACAGGAGTACGTGGAACGGAGTGTGTCAACATTTGGCACAGAAGCAGTGACAGTTGAGGGCGTGTGTGGTCGATTCCGCGACCTTTTGACGCTACGTCTTCAACTGCTACTGAGAGTGAACTACGCTCTCCACCAACTACACCAGGCACGCCGTCAGCTCCTTGTCTTCGTACAGGTAGGTAGGGTATGGTCACTTATGAATGAATCAGTTGAAAAAAATCAAAAGGGCCAGCTATGAAAATAATTAGCTAATGAAAGTAAATAAAGAATAATTTCTGGGGTAAAAGGAAAGTTAGTTTAGTTCATTTATTATTCAATCATACCCATGGTGCATATGGGTATGAGTGCAGACTTCCACCATCTGAGTCCAGGACAACAATTCTTGACACAGTGGAATGTACTGTTCCATGACGCACTATTAATATGACTCGGTTAAATTTCTCACTTAACCCTTAAACTGCGCAACACATCATATGACGTGTTGAATAACTTATGCAAAATTGCGCATCAAATCATATGATGTGTTGGAGTACAGTACTACGCAAGATTTAAACATTGACCAGACCACACACTACAAGGTGAAGGGACGACAACGTTTAGGTCTGTCCTGGACCATTCTCAAGTCGATTGTGATGAGGGAGGTGGATATGGTATCAGAATTGCAACTGGGATTGCTACTGCTCTCACACAGATCCTGCAGTCTCTCTGAGACACAAACCGGGGTTTTACACAATTCTCCCATGCACTCGGGTTCTGTCAATACTGGTTTGTGTCTCGGAGAGATTGCGGGATCTGTGTGAGAGCTGTAGCAATCCCGGTTGCAATTCTCATACCATGTCGTGGCACAGTCGATTAAGGTGCATCTGGGATCATCCTGGACATAAGTTCGAATCCTCATCACGGGCCTTGTGGATTTATTCATTTGATATATCACACTATTGTGATTTCTGTGTGTATTGCAGCTAGATAACTTCTGAGGTATGTCGGCCACTTTTTCACTGGTAACTAGGATTTGTTTATGTAGTAAAACAATATACAGGAGATCCAACCTGTCTACCATTTCTAGGCTGAACACCACATAGAATAAGCGATCAGAAACTTAAGAGTGAATTAAACAATAAACTGAGCATGCTTTTTTTAATCCATACAGAGTGAGAAGGAGCGCGAGGGTCAGGCACTACTGCAGTTGTATAGAGAGCGATCTTCAGGGTGGACCTCATCTCGCAGTCTTGGTGAGATGGAAGCACGTCTTACAGCTCTCCAAACTGCCTCCACACACACACATACACACCTCACTCGTGTGCGCCTGGCCCTGGTCAACATCTACAGTGTGGCAAGGGCCTACCAGCGCTCTCTGCCCCCTTTAGGACCCCGTGCTGCAACTTCCACTGTTTTAAAGCACCTCCACAACTTCCTACTAGACGCAATGACTGTCACTGCTGCTGCCCACACAGCAGTCCAGCCAGCTTCCCTGAGACCCAACGCTACCAGTCTCAATAATCCAACAAGGAGAGACAACACCCCAACTATAGTCATGCAGAAGGATAGTGCCAAAAAGGATAGTACCTCCAGTAAATCTGTCAAGGAAAGTGCCAGCAACAAACCATCCAGAAACGAGGTGGAAATCAAGGCCGGTGCAAGGGATAGTCCTGACTGCAAGGGCTTGAGTAAGGAGATGACCGTCCACAAGCTAACCAAGATGGAAAGCAAAATGGCCATTCTGAAAGATAGTACCACAGGTACTCCAGCATGAACACTACTGAAGGAGAGAGCCTAAATTCCCAGTACATACATTAGGTCCTGTGCACAGAATAGACTGAAAATTTGAATAAAATACCAAGTACAGAGCAAATATACAATTTATTCAATGCTCTGCTGTTCAAAATTATTGAAGAATAGATCTAGTGCACATGTTAGTATAATAGCACTATCCGGTAGTGAACCATTGGAACAGAACAATGTGTCTGAGAAACAACAATTGTCACCTAAATTAATTATAACCAATTAACAACATCTTACCTTGCAAAGTTTGCAGAATCTAGCTTTAACTCCAGGGGCTGTTTGGTCTAATTGTCGGTAGTCTAATGCTGTGACTCCCAACTCCTTTGTTTCCATTTATACCTGCTCATAAATCAATGCATAGAGATAGCCTCAGTACAGCATATGTACAACTTATTCAATAACAGATCACAATGATGCAAAATATTGAAGCAACATTTTCCTGTTTTACTGCATGGGGATATGACTCCCATTGTCAGGGTGCCTGTACTTGGGGTTATCAAGGTCTCCCTAAGCCAATTCCTATTCTTCCTCAGGATACAACCACAACTGCCTAACTCCTTTATTACTAGGTGAACAATTGTATTAGGTGAAAGAAAACACTGCTCAAGCGCTTCTCTCCTGCAGGAATTGAACCCGGTACCTTCAGAACCCTATCCATGACAAGACAAGCTGTAAGGTTTGATGACATACGACCAGTTGCAAATCCTTTTCATGAAGTAAGAGTAGCCGAGAGTAAAATTTAATCTCTCAACATCAATGTGCAGACTTGAACTGAATTTAACTCTGTGTTGACATACACAGTGTGGTCCAAACTCTAATTTGTCCAATATCATCTGTGCAGTTTAGCATACCACATTAATTATCTCTAATGTGCCTGCTACATATCACTATAATCACTAATGACACAAACACATTCACTAACCATTAATGACATAAGGGTCCCGGTAGTACAGTCGGGTTCATTCTCGATGCACAATCAAGAATTCCGGGTTCGAATCCCAAGTGGGACAGAAATGGTTGGGTGCATTTCCTACCACCAAATGCACCTGTTCACCTAGCAGTAGGTAGGTACTCAGGAGTAAGTCAGCTTGTTGTGGGGTTGCATCCTGAGCAGGGTCAGTAATTCAACGTAGGGGGGGAAGACCTTGATATATGCCTAATGTGTATGAATACACTCTGGCTGCCTGTCCCAACACAATGAATTCATATTATTATTATTATTATTATTATTATTATTATTATTATTATTATCTGTTCTGACATCTGACATAGCTTTATGTTCTTCTCTGGGAGTGTGGGTTTGGTTTGTTTGGCCTTGGTGGATGTTTAGTTTATTTGCTACCTTCTCCTTTTCTGACGAAGATAAGTTGGCTGGCTTCCAGAGGGTTCCTTTGGTGATTGATGCTTTGTTGCTCCAGCCAGGGATGCATTATCCGTTTCATCTGGTGGTAGCTCTTCGCAGCTACCCGAGAGCCACTGATTCTGCCTCACTTGATACATTGTTGGTTGACCTTGCTTCCTTCACACCCTGTTCCGAGGTTTGCATTTTCCAGGTCATCTGCAGTGTCATTAAGTCTTAACAGCCTGCAGTTTACCCTTGGGGTCATGATGTTCGCAAATTTACTGCCTTTGTGGCAGTCTTTTTCCAACTTGTTTTGGGCTTGGGAGTTTTCACCATCTAAGAGAGTTGTTGCAGCTCAGTATTTGGTTAATGTTCCTAGTCCCAGTCGGTTTTATGTTGCTTTGGGCCATGTCTCTTTTGTCTTGGTACCTGTCACCTTTCCTCCTCCCTAATAAGTCCAGCATTTTCATTCTCCATAATTAATTAATCATCCAGTGGCTTCAGGGAGCCACTGGTGGAATGAAACACCTCTTGTGATAGAGCCCTGGTGGCTGTACCAGTTTAACTGCTCCAGAACTGATCAGGGAGCTGGTCGGCCGAGCGGACAGCACACTGGACTTGTGATCCTATGGTCCTGGGTTCGATCCCAGGCGCCGGCTAGAAACACTGGGCAGAGTTTCTTTCACCCTATGCCCCTGTTACCTAGCAGTAAAATAGGTACCTGGGTGCTAGTCAGCTGTCACGGGCTGCTTCCTGGGGATGGATGCCTGGTTGAGGACCGGGCCACGGGGACACTAAAAAAAAAAAAAAGCCCCGAAATCATCTCAAGATAACTCAAGAATCAAGAAGGGTAGCCAGCTGTGGACTCGGGCTGGGTCACCTGGGGATAGCTATCAGTAGTAATGAATCTGAGACAGTTTTGAGTGAATCTATTGTTTTGCATGAATCATTTGCAGTGTTGTTTAGCAGTTTTGAAGTTTCATTTTCTGTGAACCTTCCAATTGTTTGTAAAGCTTCACTGAGTTTCTGTAAGCTTTTCCTGTTGGGGTGTTGGATTTTAACTTGCTTCTTGCACTTCTGTGAAGATGCCAGATTCTGGCTCTCTTTTCTGGAAGATCAAACAGAACTCCAGCAACTGTTGTAACCCAATAAAATGGAGCAATATCACCAAGACAGTTTCAGGGAGCCACCAGGACTCTACCAGAAAAAAAGGCATTTCGTAAAATTCAACACTGGTTCTATATTTAGGTAGTCAATACCATTCATGAATAAATATCACTTAAAAATTGTAAACTATTTAATAAAGTTGTTTAACAATTCAAATGTTTAGCTTCTTGTTTAGTATTATCCTATTAAACTTGTAAATAATTTCCCTATTTATGTTCGGTAATGACCAAAATTCTGTGTATTTGTGACTTTAAATAAATTACATTAATTGTATACCTACAAATAATCTTATACAGTATCAGTGTTTAAATTTACCTGAAGGCCACTAACACTACTGGCCTCGTCATGGACAGGAAACCTGCAGCTTGTCAAAGGTCCCCCCCCCCATTTGCCCTGATGATCTTTTCAAGTTGGATTTTAAAATTTAACAGTTATGGCATTTACGGCTTCGGTGGTTAGGCAGTTCCATGGGTTTATAACCCTGTGGGTGAAAAAGAATCTATTGTTCTCAGTCATACATTGTGGCTATATATAAATAAAGTACCTTAATAATGTAATAATGTACATTATATACATAAAAAATATTATTATTATTATTATATTACTGTTTAACGTTTGCCACAGGCGATTTGCGGTGTAATAGGATTGGCCGAGGGAAGACTGATCACAAAAACATAGCTGGTTCAGTGTCCTTATTTAGCATCTCAAATGGCAAACAAGGGAAACCCAAGCCTTTCATTACTGAAAATTGCATTGCATGTGAATAAAAATATACAGTAGTTCATATAATTAAATAGAAGATGGCCATGATGAAGATTGGTGCCTGCAATTGCATTTAAATTTAATCTTTTCAGAATATCCAAATTTTATTTTCAGTGTTTCATTCAGGCAACGTCCTACCAGCAAGCATCAGAAATATTACAGGAACAACCGTGGGCATCTTCAAGAGGAAACTAGATTGTTTCCTTGAAGGAGTGCCGGACCAACCGGGCTGTGGTGGGTATGTGGGCCTGCGGGCCGCTCCAAGCAACAGCCTGGTGGACCAAACTCTCACAAGTCAAGCCTGGCCTCGGGCCGGGCTTGGGCAGTAGAAGAACTCCCAGAACTCCATCAACCAGGTATCAACCAAGCATCAATGACACTTGAAAATAACCAGCGTTGAATGTAATGAAACGCCATTTTCTGGGTGAGACCCGGAGGCTCCCCGGAGCTTTACCGGCTGATATGCTAATGTCAGACTTTGGCATCAGTCATGTGTATGGAGTTCTAGGGCCTACCGGGGACCACGAGCCAGAACCTGGCCCCCTCAGAGAGGCAAGGGGAGCAATGGCCTATAGAAACCCCCGTGTGGTTGGAAGCATTCTATGTCTGCCATCGACCGGGTCAAGCATCCAGAAAGGTAAGCATTCCAAAACAAACCCCTATTCTGGTGAAAATTGCTACCTAAGCCGAACTAGTGAATAGAACTCTTCAACAGAAAACACGGAAACTAGTATGACGTCATACGTCACCGCGCCGCTGTCTGCGCAGCTCCCCCCTCCCCGGGAGGGGGAAGGGGGAGCCCCAGACCTCCCACGCCGGCTATCCACCCATCAGTTCTGAGGCTGGATGTCAAAACACGCGAAAAACGCCGACCGGAGGGAGGGAGGGTTGCCGGGGAGCCTCCGGGTCTCACCCAGAAAATGGCGTTTCATTACATTCAACGCTGGTTTTCTGGGGGGAGCCCCGTCGGCTCCCCGGAGCTAACTACCCACAGAGGAAGGTCAAAGGGACAAAACCGGGAGGCGGACACCACGCACCCCCCAAGGAGGCGAGACAACCGGCAGCAAACGCCAACCCAAGGCGCCACAGCCCCGAAAATCCCGGGAACAACACGAGAACCACGAGCAGCAAGGCCCCTGCACGAACACCAAAAATCCATGCCCGAAAGACTGCAAGGCCACGTCGCCCAGACGGCAGCGAGAGCAGCGAAGCCACGAACGCCACAGGCATGAGGGAAGAACACAGGCAGCTTAGCCGCAAGAACACGGCTGACCACCCGGGACACCATCACCCGCGAACCGGGAAGAACAGAACCGGATCAACGCAAAACGCGCTCCGGACCCAAACGCCGTGGCACGCAAACAACAGCAGAGGGCCGCCACTGAACACAAAAACGACACACCCCCGGCCCGACCAACAAAGCACCAACAAACCCTGGACCCCTCCAGAATGCAGCAGCCCCACCCCGCGCCAGAAAAGATGGAGACTGCTGCCATCAAACAACCAAAACGCTAAAACCGAAGGAGCAAGAAAACACAGCGAACCGACCCCCAGAGGCAAAGGCCCAAAGGAAAGAGCCGACGAAAAAACACACCGGAACCGAAGGGGCACTACCAACCGAGGAGAAGACAGAGCACGCTGACCAGAGACCAGGATGGTGCAAGCGGCGCACGAACAGGCCGGAGGTGAAATGACGCACAAGACAGCTGACTAACGGTGCAGAAGCAACACCAAGACCGAAAGCAAGCTGAAGCGGCTCCGCCTGCGCCGCACGAAAAGAGGCGACAGTATGTGGCAAGACGACGGCCCCCAACCCCCACTAGAAAACCAAGCCGAGAGTAAACCAAGCCAACAAGAAGGACCCACCGAAGAAGGGACAGGAAAAGGAAGGACCGCCAAAATACCCCATACTGCCGCCAAGAAAGCACGCAGGTGGGACACCTACCACGAAGCCACCCGACCACCAACCGGAGGCGAGACCACGAGGCAGAACATAAGCAGCCCCGACAAGGCCCCCCCGAGCCCAGGAAAAAGGCGGAGCCGCGAGAAGATCTCGGGCGCGACCACCGAAACCCAGGCGGCACAAGGAGATGGAACGTCTGCCGAACAGAAAAACTCCGAAGCATGCAAGCCCGCCAGGAGTTCAGAAACGACGGGTCCGACGCGAGACATCGCAAGAACCCCCCCAAAAAAATAAAACAACAACCGGCAGGGCAAGCTAGGAAAACCAAAGAAGGCGGAAGGGTCGCCGCCAGAACAGGACCCGAACCAAGGGGCACGAACAACTGCAACAGACCGAGACAAAGAAGCACATCACAGGACACAGGCTGACCAACGCCTAAGAACACACGCAGAACATTCCTGCTGCAGAAGAGGCAGGAAGAAAGAGCAGAAGCACAAAAAAAAAAAAAAAACCAGGAGAACAACCAGGGGTGGACAATCAGGCAGGGACAAAAACCCCACGCAATCCCCAGGCACAAAACGGCAGCAAAGCGCCACTCCACAACCGGACACAGGAACAAGGACACGCCACCGTGAAACACGGTACCAATGCTCACGTGCAGCAGCAGCAGCAACAGGCACCACTGCAACATGCAACATGTAAATAGCAACTCCCCTCTGCAAAGGCAGAGAACGGAGCAGGCAGACCCCAGACAGGGCCAACGGAGACACGACAAAACCCTGCAGGCCCAGAAACCTGCACCAGGCGACCGACGGCGGAGAAACCCCGCTCGATACCTGCTGGATGAGGTACTGGGAGCTCTTTTACACCTCAAG